GACTCACATTCGGGTGATTTTGTGGCCAATTTGGCCGAATTGGTGGCCATTAAGAGTGTTTCGGGCGAACCCGAGGCCAGGGATGAGACCATACGGGCTGTTCATTGGATGCAAAAAGTATACAACTATTACAAAAATATCACTAAAATAATGAAATGAATAATTTATTGCATTAAAACACTCAGCGATTGAATGCCGAGGGCTGTACAACACGTCTGGTAGACCCGGGACTGCAAACCCTACCGGACGGCACTCGTATACCACTACCACCGGTACTATTGGGCCAATTGGGTCGCACAGATCCTCATAAGAAAACAGTATGCGTTTACGGACACCTGGATGTACAGCCGGCCCATATGTCCGACGGCTGGCACACCGACCCCTTCACTCTGACCGAAAAGGAGGGCAAACTGTACGGCAGGGGCGCCACCGATGACAAGGGCCCAGTGCTCGGCTGGCTTCACGCCATACAGGCCTACAATAACACCGGCGTTGAATTGCCCGTCAATTTTAAGGTTGTGTTCAGTATTTTTTAGATAATAAAAATATAATTATTTTTACATTCATGAATCATGATATTTGAGCTAAAATTATACATCTATTTAATTTATATTTTATTTATATTTAATCAAACTATTAGTTTATATTCGAGGGGATGGAAGAGTCAGACAGCGTAGGTCTGGACGATGTGGTGATAGCCGAGGCCGAGGGGGCCAACGGTCTACTGGCGGACGTTGACTACATTTGCATTAGTGATAGCAATTGGTTGGGCGCCACAAAACCCACGCTAACGTACGGCCTCCGGGGTATCTCATACTTTTACATTGACATCGAGGGCGCGGCCAAAGACCTGCATTCCGGTGCCTATGGGGGCGGCGTTCACGAGGCTATGACCGATTTGGTGGCCCTTATGAACCGTCTGGTGGACACCAGGGGTCGCATACTTGTGCCCGGAGTTATGGACGCTGTGTTGCCCCTAACCCCTGATGAGGAGGCACTTTATCGCACCATTGATTTCAATAGCGATGAGTTCCGAGACATCGAAGTGGGCGCCCGACGGCTCATACATAATGATAAAGTCGATACACTGACCCATATATGGCGATACCCCTCCCTATCCTTACATGGTATGTATTTACAGCACATTATACCATAATCTTTAATCTCTGTGTGATTTAGCCATGTGTTGTTTTGTCTGATTCAGTTTTATCTAGTGTATTTAGGCATGTTTGTCTAATAGGATGTATGTTATTTTTATGTGTGATTAGTTTTAAATGCATTAATCACTTGACAGGCATTGAAGGCGCGCACTCGACCCCCGGCGCTAAGACAGTAATACCGGGTCGAGTGGTCGGCAAGTTTTCAATACGTCTGGTCCCCAATCAGGACCCCAATAACATTGAGAGACTAGTGACTGATTATTTAAACCAAGAGTTTAATAAGTTGGACAGTCCTAATAAGTTGAAAATCACCATGGTCACCGGCGCTAAACCCTGGTTGGCTGATCCCAATGATCCCAATTTTAGTGCTGGTCGAAAGGCAACGAAAACAGGTAAATTAAATTGTGGTACAAACATGGTAATGTTTGTTTAGATAATTAATATGTATAATATAAATAATTTTACCTTAAAGTGTTTGGCGTGGATCCGGATCTGTGTAGAGATGGCGGTTCAATACCCATCACATTGACGTTTCAATCGGCAACCGGTCAGTGCCTTATATTAATAGTGTGATCACTCCGTACAGTACACTGCTATTTATTTATATAACTTATATGTTTTTTATAAGTTTAAATAATACTTGGTTTAATTAATCATTGTGGTTTATTTTTAATGTAATATTAGGTAAAAGTGTGCTGTTAATCAACATGGGTGCCAGCGATGACGGGCCGCACTCGCAAAACGAGAAGATTAATAAATGGAATTATATTGAAGTCACCAAGGTGTTTGCCGCCTATCTATATGAACTAGCACGAATGGGCGAGAATTAAAATTATAATGATTTTAATTTTTCAATTAATTACTGAAATAAAGAACAATTAAAAAATTACAAATATATTTTTTTGAAATAGAGTTTATTAATTAATGGTAATTAATAATTATTAATTATTATTATGATTATTATTATAATGTAAAAATGGTATATAATTATATTAACACATTATTAATACTGTTGGCACACAGTTGTGATCTTAATAACATAATAAAATATAAATTAGATTCACACATAGTGGGCGTGGGCAATTAACTAAAGTCACTAAACTTTACATTAGTCATTTAAAATTGTGATCAATAATTGTGTTTGGTAATTAAGGGTGCGAAAACACCACCAACAACCATGCGGTTGCGGGCCCACCCTGGTGACTCGCCGGTGATAGTGTTGGCCGCGTCCGAAAAGGGTTGACGGGTCGGCGTTTCCCTTAACCATTGGGCCGTCCGATCAAACACTGTTTGCCGGAGTCTAGTATCGCCGGACGCGGCGGCCGTAAACATCATCCAACAAAACCTGGTGTCCGCCGTAACGCTCCCTAATTGTAGGCCGTAATAGTTGATCACCTGTTTGTACCACTGGTCCTGTTGTTTGTAGATCTATAGGCATGTGTAATGTATGCTTAGAAAGTAGTATTTAAACAATGTTAGTTTTTAAAACACAAACCGATTCGGGCACTAATTTGGTGTCCAACAGGACATCGGCGTAGAGATTATACATCATAAACCATGTGTTGTCACTATTATAAGTCATTTTTATGTGTTTATTGAACGGGTCGTCACCCAAACGGATCCATTCGGTGACGTATTTTTCGGCCGTCCGTCTAAACAGTTGTCTGTCCGCCTCATTGCCGGTCACTTCAGCCAACTGTGCCATCGCTCCGATGCCTACAATAGCTTTGACCGAAAGGTTTGTTGAATTTGTCAATTTGCCCAAATAGGCATCCGTTGTTAAAGCGTCACCTAAATTAATCATGGTAGTTATAAATTATTCAAATTTACCATAAATTATTATTATTATTTGTTTAGGTTTTAACGATTATACCTGTGATCAACCCGTGATCGACCAAATACTGTGTCCATTGTTTGGCAATTTTGTAGTGCTTTTTGGCAAACTCTGTATCATTGGTTGCCCTGACATAGGCTGACATCATGATCAACATATTGGCGCTCTGCTCGACCTCCATGTCCTCGTGATGTCCCTCTTGTCCCCCGCATTGCGGATACTGTTTACCCAAATCATGCAAACTATACTTCTTTGCGAATAAACCCCTCTCTTGATAGTCAAACAATGGCTCCAAAAGGTATCGCAAAAGCGTTGGATTCAGATATAAGTGAACCGCAAAGTGGGAGTAAATCACATCCACTGTCTGACAATTACGAGGTGGCGTATCCTTTAACATCATCCACGGCCTGTCAACTGTGCCAACCATTTCCAACCCTCCATAAGCCTAAACAATATAATTATCAATTCCTAATATTATACATGCAATAACTCTTTACCAATATATACCTGTCTGAGCGCTGCGGACACAATTTTAACATAACTCTCGCCGCCGACCGCCTGAGCGTCTGTCACAATACGTGTGTCCAGAGCTGTGGCCCTCCGGAAGGCGTCCTCTCTGTCCTCATAGAAGAAGTCAATCATCTGTTTGTCGTCTCCATTGAAATAACTTTCCCACAATTGGTTCAGATGTGAGTCCGTGTACTCAATGGCCGGTCG